GGCAGTTGGAATTCGATATAAGAGTAGGCCGTAGTGCCGCTGTCCGGGCAAAATTTCCCTCATAGCACACTGTATGGCGTATGCCCGTCTTCATTAGCCCAGGTTAGGAGCAGAACAGTAGGACGTTAAACTCCATTTCATTTCATTTCATCCATGTATAGCTAGAATACATGGGGCGTATTTCAACTCCGTCAGAACTATAGGACACGTTGGGCGTATTTTTACGGCCAATCTGCAATCATTCGGGCGAACCATTCAACATCTAATTTCGCCAAGTGTGTCTGAATTTGGGGGGGGGGGGGCAGCTGGGACACTAACCACGAGCCCGAAGGTCCGGTATGCTGAGTAATGTCGGTATATATTAATAGAAAAAAAAATACACTGTTATTATTATTATTATTATTATTGTTCGATTTATATAGCTCTTCATTACACGTGAAGTGTTTCTAAGCGCATATCACAAACATGTACTTCAAACACACAGAAACAATCAAAATCAGGAGAACATAATTAAACACAGCTGCCTGTTAGGCGCTATTATTCAAAGGTTTATATCCAACAAATCAACCGGCTAATCTCTATATTGAACTCAGTCGAGGTATTACCTGATGAACACCTACACCAAGTAGAGTTCAAAAATAAAATCAACTTCATTAACAAAAATTAAACAATCAAAAACTAAACTGATAAATCAAATTCAAAGCACACGCTTTGGATGGCTGAATGGTTAGCGTGTGCGCGGTGTATCATCAAGTCTGTCATTAAGTCAACTGGCGTGGTTTCGAATTCGCGGTTGTACGTGGCAAGGAATAGGGTCGCCTGTCCAACCTCGTGGGTTTTCTCCGGGTCCTCCAGTTTCCTCCCACTGCTAAGGCCCCCTACGCGCAAGCGAATTATTGAAATTAAATTAAACCATGTGTTAGTTCCCATTTCTCTGTCTCTCTCTCCACCCCAGTAGGATACAGACATTCAGAAAAGTCACCAGGTTTCTTCTACTTCACCGTCAAGTACAATCGCGTTTTTAGCTTGTAGTCCCTTGGTATGCAAATAGTATAAAAATAAGGTATATCAAGGTTGTGGACCCTCTAGAGATCACAATTTTGATCCGATTTTGATGGAACTTATAATACATGGTTATATCCCAAAGATCTTGGTTTCTTTTCGATATTCATGCAAAGTGGACCGTAACTTCAGAATTATGGCCCCTGATTGTAAGAAAAATCGCGTTTTTAGATTGTGGTCCCTCTAGAGCTCACGATTATTTTTTGATTTAAAAAAACTGTTTGAATATATCACCGTTACACCCTAATGACGTTTTAATTTGAATTTCTTGAAAATCAGACAAAAACTGCTGGACAAAATGGCCACCCCTCATACGCAAATAGTGTAAAAAATATGGTATATCAAAGTTGTGGACGCCTCTAGAGGCCACAATTTTGATCCAATTTTGATGAAACTTTATGTTTAAATAACAAAGACCCTGGTTCCTTTTGATAATCACCCATATCCAAACGTAACATACAGGATTATGGCCCCTGATTGTTCAAAAAAAAACATTTTTAGCTTGTGGACCTGCTAGAAGTCACAATTTGTATTTAATTTTAAAAACCGTTTAAATATATCACTGTTAAACATCAATGAAGTTTGAATTCGAATTTCGTGGAAATGGAACTGTAACTGCCCGACAAAATAGCCGCCCCTCGTACGCAAATTGTGTGCAAGTATTTAATACGAAGGTTGTGGAGTCCTAGAGGTCACAATTGTTGTCCGATTTTGATGAAACTTAAAATATATCTTTATATCCCAAAGATCTCAGTCCCTTTCGATATTCGCACATTTCAGATCATAACTTTGTGGATTATGGCCCCTGATTGTATGAAAAATCGTGGGTTTTTTTTTAGCTTGTTCTCTATCCATCTCTTTCAAAATGTGAGCTTCTCCTGCCTGGCAGCCGCTGGTATGATACCATGGACCCTATAAATAAGGTCCTTGGTAATACAATGTATTTAAAATCTTTATACATGTATTCCATAAATTGTTGTATTTACACAGACTTCCGACTGCCATCTGTGTTTGTTTTGTCAAATGTCCGTATTGCGTGCATGTCTGTAAATGTTCGCCCATATTCATGTATGTTTTGTCACAAATTCGTCTGATTGTCAATGTCTACTGACACTTCTTTATTCTTTGCACCTGTTATCTCATGTCTTGTCATGTTACCTATTGTCTTCTGTACATATATATAAATATATAAATATCTAATTATCCTTTTTCTGCTAATCACATTGTAAATATCTCACTATGTATATATAACATGTAATTGTCTGCGATATCACCTCGGTGGAAGCGGACGTTAAATAAAGCTATTTCACACAATCGTATGTAACAAATCATATTATAAAAGTCTAGGACCCTAACAATTTGTACAAAGTTGAAACCATAATAAAAGAAAGAAAAAAAAGGAAAAACTAATCATATATGACACTGATTAAAACTTATATTATTATTAAGGTATGGGGGGGTAAATCTTAACACAATGAAATGGAATGGGGTTTAACATCCTACTGTTTTGCTCCTAAACTGGGCTATTAAAGACGGGCATACGCCATACAGTGTGCTATGAGTGAAATTTTGCCCGGGCAGCGGCGCTACGGCCTACTCTTATATCGAATTCCAACTGCCAAGGGATCTTTTACGTGCACGCCAATTTGTACACGGGACCTTGTTTTTTCGTCCCATCCCAAGGACTAGACAGCTGTCCTTGTCAGGCCCTCCGTCCTGCATCACTGACAAGGGAAATCTTAACACATATACTAGTAACGAAATAATAAAACTGTATTGATTAAGATTTAGTGTAAACATTAATAATAGGGTCTTCCAAACGCGTAATCAATCCTTGAACAATCGGAAGTGACGAACGCAAAAGGAAAACACGAGTTATCCCTCTATATCGTAGCAATGATCTCTGTGATAAAATAATATTTGGAACGTGTTTAACCAGTTCTATCACATATGTGATAATGACTGGCACCAATATTGTCCTTTAAGTGGCATAAGCAATAGAACACGTACTAAACAAATACCATATAGTAGAACCAAACATCCTATTAATTAAAGCGACTTTCTATTGAGAGTTTTTCCGTTCCCAAGAAGATGGTGAAAGACAAAAATGACAATTAACAATATACACCAATAATAACAATTAACGAGAAAAGATTCAAATATAAAAGACATTACAATACAATAAAACAATAAGATAGTGTCAACTGTCTGCCATTTGATAATAGCTTAACGTATAGTTAATAATAAAAGATTAATAGACACATAAGAATCATAGAAATGTCTAATTGAAGGAACAAATAATGAACGGTTGAAATAATGAAAGCATAAAATACGAAACGAAATGAAATGGGGTTTAACGTCCTACTGTTCTGCTCCGATTGGTCTACTGAAGAGAGGAAATTTTGCCCGGACAGCGGCGCTATGGCTTACTCTTATATCGAATTTCAGCTGTACACGGTAACTCGTTTTTTCCATCCGAACGACTAAACAGCTGTCCTCCCACTGCTAAAGACCCCTACGCGCAAGCGAATAATTGAAATAATATTAAACCATATATTAGTCCCAAAATGACTTAGTTTGTGTCGAGTGGACGTTAAACCCCAAAATATGAACGGGAAAAATAGACACACTCCGTCAAAAACTCAAGATTTTAGTCTCGATACAGAAATGACCAAAAAGGAATTTCTTGAGCCATTGCTTCAGGAATATGCATGTTACCCTGTTTTGGGTAATACGACGTGCTATTGTTCAGAACTGGACGGGCCTTTTAGCTCAATGCATCGGCGTTCATAGTCTGCTTGAAGGGATTTGTAAACATGAAAAACACATATTTAAAAAAAATACGAATTGTGTAATGTCGCTCACGGGTTTAGAGACTGTCTACTTATTCCAGAACGCCTTTGTTCACATATATATCTAACAGCTTTTGTAATCTGTATATCAAAAAATAGATTGATTCACATGTTTCACATGTTGTGACTAGTACATCGTGAACTGTTTGTTTTTATCTAACGGAAAATACCATGTTTCACATAACTATGTACTGTGTGCAAAAGTAAATCAAGTTCATGGACAATGTCCGCAATGTGAAACATTGGGAGATTGCCAAATCTGGAGATAACTGCGCAAACATTTTCACATTGCATTTATGATATACGACTACAATATACTACCAACCCAAGCCAAAATTAAAATATAGAATTTTTCTAAATCCAATTTATAAAGGCGAATCAATAAATTAAGTTGTTGAAAGGTGGGAGATAGTAACTAACCACCAAAGAATTATCTAACTCTGAAGGCTTATGTTTTGAGAGAGAGAGAGAGAGAGAGAGAGAGAGAGAGATACAATGGGCGATATATATTCTTCCATTATGTGATTGTAAGAATGAATGCTGTAACATGAAGCATGAAACTTTAAAGGGGATACACCACACTACAGAGGTCGGTTAAATGTAACACAGTGTAACTACGCTATCTTGGGACTAACATGTGGTATGTCGGTATCATACTAATGGGTAGTTTTGTCCGCTTTTTAAATACGGTTTTAACATTTAGTAGGAAATGAAATGAAATGGTGTTTAACATCGCCTACTGTTCTGCTCCGACTGCCATATCGAATTCCAACTGCCAAATGATCTTTTACGTGCACGCCAATATACACACGGGTAAAATAAACCAATAGGCCTACGCATATACAATGATTTATGTACAACCCCCCCCCCCTCCAAAAAAACAAACAATGAATATATATCAGTTATCTTTGAAAGTAAAGAATTAAAAGTGTTATGATTTGTAGTCTCGGATATCTAAAACTGGTACATTTTAGACGTCTTGGTAACCAAGACTATGTTGTGAGGTTTTCTACCATACATCATCTTGAAAATTAATGTTATTTTGTAAGACATGTAGATAGATATATTGTTATGCATCACAATGTGAAATGTTTGTTGTAACTTCCATACTCATGCTTGTACATGTAGTTGTGAATAAACTGTTATTATTATTATTATTATTATTATACAAACAATTCGTAAACCTAACTCTAACCCTGACGTAGGCCTAACCCTACTAGGCTTACGAATATCCCGTTTCTTTAGAATGTATTTAGTATGTATTAGGTTGTTGTATATAGGTAAACTAACCACACAGCTTTAATGTCTGCAATGTGAAACAGACAAATAGGTATCATAATAACTGTCTACGTTATTTGCTCCTTCACAAAGAAATGCCCCCAAATTTAACGTAAACCACACACCATCAGTCCCCACTCTCTCCTGCCTATAAAATAAAGTAGTCAATTTCATATTTTGATTGTTTCTGCGTAGAATTGTAAAGTTAATTGTTGAGATTAACCTTTGTCTTGGGTGATTTGCACACGATATAAAAGTAACGTGAAACAATACGTCACACGGAGATTTATTGACATGGGATATTTTCAACACAGGACGCCAATTTTTGTGCCGTGTGCAAAATACCTTCACGCGCATAAATACACCAGGCGAGCAGACGCACACAATCAGATCACTAAAAACGCCAGATCAATAGACAGAGAAAATAAACTGGAAAAGATGTCGTCTGAAAAAGCAGCTTGTGAGTATTGTTTTGGGGTTGTTTTTTTTGGGGGGGTGGGGGGGGTTGATTAATTTGATGATGTCTTGTGACATGAATGTTTTATGTTTATGACAGAGCGCGTCATTCCCACTGTAAACACCGTGGGAGAGATAGGTCTACTATTGGAAACTATGGAACTCCGTAGAGGCCATATTGGGGATTGATAAACAAACAGAACAAAAAACCTCGTTCGAATCAGTGCTGGGCGAGGGCCTGACAAGGACAGCCGTCTAGTCGTTCGGATGGGACGAAAAACCGAGATCCCGGGTATACATTTGTGTTGGAATTCGATATAAGAGTAGACCATAGTGCCGCTGCCCGGGCAAAATTTCATTTCTCTTCTATAATACATGTATTCCGAGCTAATTAAGATAAATTTCTTGTTTATGAGAGAATTTATTTTTCTAATACTTACAAAAAAAATGTTCTAGAAGGAAAAAAGTAGTGCTAGGTTATTAGCCCGTACCGATGTCTCCCAGCCGTAACCCTAACCCTGGACCTAGCCCTGATGCTTACCCTAAACCTAACCTACAATCTCGCCAACAATCACGTGTCCTAACCTTATCTCAGCGACCGTGACGAAAATTGAGTTGGCCTTAACAAATAGATTTAGCCCTCAATCTAGCTAGCCCTCGATGATTGTAGCGGCCGATAGCGAATATTCACTTCTGGTCAATGTGTAGGCCTACTTGTCGAAACCCGAAGAACTTTGTTTCTAGATTTAACAAATATATATTGGGGCGGCATAAGGACTTATGGAGACGCACATTTCGACTTTTGTTTCTAGAATCAAATATTTCAGCAGAATGTTCGCAAATGTTGACTTTCTAATACTTATTGGGAAATCTCTGAATTTATATGTTCTCCTAAAACACACGGGCGATTTCATCTCGTTATATTAATATAACCTTTTTATTTTACTGTTAGGTTGTTTGGCGGAATATGAATGCTGTAAAACCAAATCATGTTGTACAAACGGACCAGCAAATTGTTGTAGTCCTGGTAACAGCACAGATTGCTGTAAAGCGCAAAATACTTGTAAATGTAGCGGTAAGAATACATCGTTTTGAACAATTTCTTTAAACATACATTATGCAAGAGCTAAATCTGCCTATTGCAGGTCTTTCTTTAGGCCTGAAATGTTATGTGAATTATTAATTAGACATTAATTAACTTATCCAGACCATAATGAACTCTCGATGTCTTTGCTAGCCTGCGTTATTTACTGTATTAGGATCCGATCTGCTGTTCAACGCTCATTCATGATTAAATCAAAAAATGGATAATCAAGACTATGGTTTTTTTTATCGTACCGACCTAAGTAATAATGATTGAGGCTATGTCCAAAATTCATTTGCTAAATTCTCGGTTCAGAGTGGATCAATTTGACTGAAATTTTCAGCAAATTCCCTTTACATTATCTAGTTTTTAACTATTATAGTGAGAACTACCAGCTCTTATCTAATCTTCCATAATGCTCTTTTAACTATCACGGTGGGAGCTGGACGTGTGTGTTTTGTACTTGTCTAAAACGTTCCGCTATAGATTTTGGGTTAGATCTAAACATTAAGGCCACCTTCAGATTTCTTCAAGGTATTCGTGCCCTTGACGAAATCTGCAAATGGCCTTAATATTTAGATGTGACCTAAATTTTGGGTGCCCACGTCTGTATATATGTCAAAAATTAAGTTCTATGGATAAAAAAAAAGCTCTTGGCTTTCGTCAGGGTTATAATGCTTTCCCCCACTTCCAAACTGTCCTGTACTAAATGGTAGCCTGCTGGAAATACGAATTATATAGTTTGTTATTGTACTTGGGAAATAGTAAAAAAACAAATGGTCGTGTGCGAAATTGAAGTACTGGAATTACGAATTACCATATGATAGTAATGGAATGTTGTAAAGTGGACGTTCAACCCCATCCCCGCAATATGGGGAAACTGTCAACTGGCAACAAAGGAACGACCTGGGCAGACGATCAGACCTCGTTTTATGACGTAACATTAACTTTCCCGGTGTTACCTCGGGATCCGGACGTGAAAGGTTCTTCTGGACTGCGGCTATCTACGAGAACTTACGTAGCTAAAAACGTTGAGATATACTGATGTGTTTGTTTTTAGGTACGATTGGATGCCTTTAGTTCCAAGCGGCAAACCCAGTTTCTTGTTTCTTAATGCACGTAACATCTTAAAAATAAGATAATTCTATACTAATGACTAATTAAACTTACAGAGGACAATGTAGTGGCACAACTATCACCTAACTCCAAATATTCGCGTTTAAATTAATGAAGCGTTGTTTTTATCTCACATACACCCTATCTCCCGTTTAAAAATGGCGTTCTTAGTAACGGCTTAACGCCTCGGTGATGCGATTCGCGTTGGGCTTTGCTACGTGAAACTATATAGGACCATCTCTTATCTCGAAACACGGAGGGTTGAGGGATGAGGTTTATTATCTAGACTGCGGCCTGGTATTACTGAGCGTTGAATTTTTGCCTGTTGTGCAGTCATAATTTATTTAAACCAAAAAGATACCAACGCTATAAATACGATATCCGTGGATATGATTATTATGTATAACTTTTAATGTATTTTTTGTCCATTACAGGAACCTGCGCATGTGGTGTTGGATGTACAGGGGTAGATAACTGTAAATGTGGTAGCGGATGTTCGTGTAAATAATAAGAAACATTAAAAACACAACACAGTTTATATGGAAATACAATCACTGGTTTATAAGTATAGCACGACGTTTCGACAAGTATTCTCTTATCGTTATCAAGCACAAATCATTTGTATGGAATACAATTACTGCTTATTATTGAGCGACGTTTTGACTAGGCTTCTCAAAGATAAACTTTAAAGTTCAATGACTGTTTAGGCTAATTCAACATGAATTATTCATAGAAGTCTAAAAGTTCTTTATCTCTTATAGCATAGCATATCATTTCAACATCTAATGTTTGTTCATTTAAAAAAATAAATTGATACTTTATCATTGTTTTGTCTTTATTTCCATGTTTGGGGCTGAATCATCCCCAGGCAAGAGTAGTGGGGTGAGGTGGGAATGTATCGTATTATTTTGGGGAGGTTGCCAGACAAAAAAAAAGAATTGGTGGTGGATGTGGCCGATGGTTAGGAACCGTGTTATGAACAGACAGGACGATTTACCCAATACAATCCAATACTTAAAGGAGCTAAATCGCTAATATCCGGGACCTAGAAATTGACACAAATGGGTCGCAACGCATATAATAAAAAGGCGCTAAATCGCTAATATTCGGGACCTAGAAATTGACACAAATGGGTCGCAACGTATATAATAATGTAATATGAATGTGTATAAACTGATTTATATTTAATTGTTTCTGTTTTTACTCTAATTTCTAATCTGTTATGTTCGTCGAAATACGCCAGAAGTCTCTATCGAATGGCAATCTCTAGCGTCTGGTTATTCCAGTCTACATCGATAGTATTTATTGCCCATGCTCTCCAGATAAGAATATGACGCACCGTTTGACATGACTTGTGGAATATGTCTAGCCTCGTTTTTCGAGTCCCTTGTTACAAATGGTACTAAAACGCATTATGGTACACGATATGGTAGGGGATATTGAAATGCAAATACCTATGCAGGTTGTCATATGATAAATAGTCATGGACACTTGACATGCTTTGAGAGTATGTTCACAGATGAAGAACTTATCGCCCCAACAGAATCACTGAGCTGCACATGCGACACGCAATAGCGCCATACATGTGGGAGGGGTTCATTGTCAAATTTGACACTTCAAGGAAGTGTTGATGAAAACTGCCGCGTGCTGGTTTATCTATCCATGTTTACTTTCCTATCGGTTCTTGCATACGATTTACATCTTAGCGTATCTTTGCTTTAGTGTGTTACGTTTAGTTTGATCAACGTCAACCGACAACAATGCAAGAATTGGCCGTGGCACTGCAAGAGGAATGGGTCAGATTGTCCCAAATAGTGATTGGACGGTTGATTAGGAGTATGCCACGACGAATTGCTGAATGTCTCAGTATTGGTGGAGCAATTACTCATTATTAAGACAAAAATCAAAAACGTCCATTTTCACTTTTGACGGTGTATCTCTTTGCGAGTGAAATGGGACCGTCAGATAAGCCGCCCATATAAACTGTTTATCTTCATGTGTAGGCAATAAAAACAGCAGTGCATTTCCACAGTTTTGTATTGTTTCTGAATATCCCCTACTTTTTTGTAGAGAATATATTGGATATCAGAAGCCCATCTTTTTCCGGTAAGATTACAACATCAATGTTGATATAAATTGACAAATAATTCGCGTTTTCAATGTCGAAGACTTTGGATAATTTTAAGTTAGAAACTTAGCTACATTAATACACCACATACGACCTTATTATTGTTGATTGGTTGAATTAATCCATAAAAAAATTGTAATAATTCGGGGAATTAGCAAAATTTCTACGGTAAACTGGACAAGTCTAAATGAGTCTGAAAGACTAGCCAATCATAATAAATATATCCCAATTTAACCCAGAACTAAAAAAATACAACCAGCCCCACTCTTATTTGTATCCAAAACTCACAGAATTGTACAAGTACTTCAATATCAACAAACTAATTCTTATCTATTTATGGAATTTTTTGTTTGGTCGAAAAAACAGCACAATTATCAAGAGTGGGTAATTTGACTACGTGTCTTCGCAGGAAAAGGTCCCAGGGGTTGGTGGAGTAGGAAGGGCAATACCTTTGGGGATGCCGAGAATGCAATTCTCATGTGTGGCATTGTTAAATGGGGTTTAACGCCCTACTGTTCTGCTCCGACTGGGATAATGAAAACAGGCATACACCATATAGTGTGCTATAAGGGATATTTTGTCCGGGCAGCAGCACTATGGCCTACTCTTATATCGAATTCCAACTGCCAAGGGATCTTTTACGTGCACGCCATTGTGTACACAGGACCTCGATTTTTCGTCCCATCCCAATGACTAGACAGTTGTCGTTGTCAGGCTCTCCATCCTGCACTACTGACAAGGGGAAACCACGCCGGAAAATCTCAATGAACCTACTCAGCCAACCTGCGACCTCCAGAATAGCGAGCTAGCGTCTTACTTACTTTTCCCCGTTTCCCGTCACTTCCTAACAACATTAGCTTACTTTATCATCCCAGCAGTGCCACTCGTGACATCATACAAAACTTAGGCTACCTGTCTACAATTTGCTCTGCTTAAAGTACAGACACTAAGCTAGTTGACCGACATTTTAATTCCAAAATCGACGATTTTAGGCGAGAATTTTGAGAAATATTTATTCTGCTTCCATTTAATGGAATTGAATAGATTTATTACAAAACAGTTATTTTAGGATATGGCGGCCATTCAGGGCAGAGATCAATTCTTGAAGTATGAAGTAGATGGATCTCTGTGTACAGGATGTTGTGGCAAGTGAGTTAACAAAGCATTCTCAGACTTAAAGTAGCTAAGTCTCTAATTTAAAGGAGGTAAGTCTCTAATTCAATATCATCCAAAATCTTCGGCATTGAAATGAAATGAAATGGGGTTTAACGTCCTACTGTTTTGCTCCGAACTGGGCTAATGAAGACGGGCATACGCCATACAGTGTGCTATGAGGGTAATTTTGCCCGGACAGCGGCACTACGGCCTACTCTTATATCGAATTCCAACTGTCAAGGGATCTTTTACGTGCACGCCAATGTGTACACGGGACCTCGGTTTTTCGTCTCATCCGAATGACTAGACAGCTGTCCTTGTCAGGCCCTCCGTCCTGCATCACTGACAAGGGGGAACCACCCAAAATCTTCGGCATTGAAAACACGAATTATTTGTCAATTTAAATCAACATTGATGTTGTGATCTTACCGGGAAAAGATAGGCTTCTGATATCCAATATTTAACACAAAATAAACATTTTGCCATTGGTACACGAATCGTGTACCATAATGCGTTTCTGGTCCATTCTAACAAGGGACTGGAAGAACGAGGCTAGACATTCAACAAGTCATGTCAAACGGTGACGGCATATT